CATCCAGTGTCCATAGTCAGGAAACCATGACTATCTGTTGATCAACGAGCTAGTCAACTAGAGGCTCACTAGGGACATGTCGGTGTCTGTTATTCACACATGTATTACGATTTCCGGATAACACAATTATAGCATGAATAAAGACAATTATCATGAACAAGGAAATATAATAATAATGCTTTTATTATTGCCTCTAGGGCATATTTCCAACACTGGAGACATTTGCTGAGCATCGCCCCACGACACTCGCCAAACGTCGACCGACAACTCTATCACAGAGTCATCAACTGCGGAGGTGAGGGCCACGTGGCACACACTTTGCCGAGTACGTCTGGTTTTCATCAAGTTCTCCACAAAGGTCACCAAGTTCTGCATGTTTGGTGTTTTTCGTGCAGTACTTGATAATAAACACTAACATAACCTCCAACTAATTTTGAGCAATCCCTAAGAAAAACAATTTTCCGCAGCTCTGAAGTAAACTTTTTTTTTACTGGAAAGCTCTGGAGTAAACTTGAATACTATAGTGTAAAAAACTCTCTTATATTATGAGATGGAGGGGAGTACTTGTCAGGACCCCGACTCAATGCCACATCGATCTAGCATGTAACACCTCATATCACTTTGCGGCCTCACGCACGGTATTCCCACGGGTGTCGCCTTACCTTTGCCCGGGGCCGTTTGCGCCTTTTGGCACACATATATGATAGTGTCGCTAGCATCCATATGATAAGGAGCCCGGGCTGACATGGCTAGTCGTAAACCCAAAGTGGCACAGACTTACAGGGACATGCATCCATGACCCAGCATCGAACGTGTCGGTCATCAGCGAGTGAATCCAGGCTGTAGCACTGGGCTAGCAGGACTCCGGTGAACCGAGCTGTAGCGGGCTAACAGGACTCCGGTACTCAATGCGTGACATTTCCCCGAAGGGACAGACACTGGAACGAAGAAGGACACATGCCGGCCAGCCTAAGTGTTCCGGAGCAGTAGCAAGCTACCAAGGCTCAATGGAAACACTAGGAGACATTTCCCGGTAAGAGAGGCTACTAAAGATAAACAACTAGATAGTCAGATCCCACACATACCAAGCATTTCAATCATACACACAATATGCTCGATATGTGCAAATACAACAAGGCATCACAACATAACTCTACGACACAAGTAAGTATTCATTAGGCTCCGAGGAGCGGGATATTACAAACAAGGGTCCTACGACCCAACATTCAGAGCATACAAGTCAAAACACAAGCGGAAGCTATCATGTCTGAGTACAGACATCTATAAATGAAAAAGGCTGAGAAGCCTGACTATCTACCAAATCCTGCCGAGGCACAAGATCGTAGCTGAGGTAACAAGCTAAACGTCGAAGTCCACGCGGAACTACTAGCGAGACCGAAGTCTCTCTGCAAAAACATAAAATAGGCAAACGTGAGTACAAATGTACCCAGCAAGACTTACATCAGAACTAACTACATATGCATCATTATCAACAAAGGGATGGTGGGGGTTTAACTGCAGCAAGCCAGCTTTGACTCGGTGGCTATCCTAAACTACGACTGCAAGCAACTCTTTTGAGGTGGCGCACACGAGTCCACATATTCACCATATCAATACACCACTATGGATCCGCTCCCGTCTCCCTACGAGAACGCCATCCATAGCACTCACGCTTATCTTGCGTATTTTAGAGTATCCACTTTCACTTGTCTATGAACTGTTATAAGAAACCCAGAAGTCCTTTTCTGCGGACACGGCTATTCGAATAGATGATGTTAACCCTGCAGGGGTGTACTTCTTCATACATGTTTCCACCACTTAGCGTCTGCACACGACATGTGCTCGGCAGACTTTAAGCGAAAGCCGACGTGGGTGTAGACCACGACCTACCTAAACACTCAAGTCTCTAGTCTAGGTTTATCGCCTATTCGGGTTCCATCCATGAGGAGATCCGGCCGGAGTTTCGCTCACAGCCCCAAACGATGCGTGCAGGGTTCCCGAGATACCTAACGGGTATCCGGTACACCGGGCCACGTACCTACCGCATCACAGCCCACCCCTACGGTCAGCGCTGTCCACGGCCTCCAGTAAGCTACAAACACCAGAAACTACTTGCAACTCCTGGACAGAGGACTAGGGTGAATAAGAAGTCGAGCGGGGTCATATTTCAGGGCCCAATGCATGGTAGTAGCTGAATCATGGATCACAAACACAGAACTCAGTTCCTGAGGACGGCTTCAATGAGACAACCCACCATGTACTCCTACATGGCCTCTCACCGTTACCTTTTACCAAATCGTGTTCACACACTTAGCTCACACACAGTAGGACATGTTCACACACCTCTGATTCATCCCCGATGAATCAGACCTGACTCAACTCTAAGCAGTAGCAGGCATGACAAACAAACATGAATGAGTAGGCACAACAGGGCTCAAGCAACTCCTACTCATACTAGTGGGTTTCATCTATTTACTGTGGCAATGACAGGTCATGCAGAGGATAAAGGGGTTCAGCTACCGCAGCAAGTAACAAATGACTCGTTGTTGTCCTAATGCAGTAAAAGAGAGCAGGGCGAGAGAGTAGGATTGTATCGGAATGAACAAGGGGGGTTTTGCTTGCCTGGCACTTCTGAAGATAATATTGAGTCTTCATCAGTGTCAACGATCACATCATCGGTACATCGTCTACCGAGGGGGAACAACGCCGACAAACAAAGGAGAAACACAATCAATGCCATGCAACAATATGATGCATGAAGATGACATGGCAATATACTGTTGATTGGCCTAATGCATCTAGCAACAAGTTAAATGGGGTTGGTTTGAACACTATGTTCAAATTCAAACTCCATATGTGAGAGTTTTAATGCCATTTAATTGATTTGTGCTAAACAGAAGCTATAAGTTGTTCTAACATGCATGAAAATGGTACAGATGGATAGATTGGATTTTTCTGATCATTTTTCATATATAAATTATTTCATTTGGAGTTACGGTTGATTTTATATGATTTTTAGAAGTTTAGGCCATTTTCTGAATTTTCAGAATATTAATAATTCCAGTAATTCATTATTGCGTCAGCCTGACGTCAGTGTGACGTCAGCAGGTCAACAGGTCACTGTCCAGTCAAACCTGATAGTGGGTCCCACATGTCAGTGTAATTAGCTTAACTAAATAAATTAATATTAGATTAACTCCTAATCTAGGTTTGACCAGGGGCGGGGCCCACATGGTCAAATGGGTCAACCCCACCGGCGACATGACGCCGACGAGGCCCGAGACGGTGGCGCGGTCCGGAAACGCAGCACGGGCCACGGTTCGGGGCGCGGATGGCACCGTTGGAACCCTGGGCCTCGTCCGCGTCGGCTGGTGCTAGAGGGGTCGCCGGAGACGACCTAAATCGACGGCGGTGTCCGCTTCCGCGGCGGTCGGAGTTCGGGCGCCGACCGATTCGACGCTATGGTGCACTACGGGAGGAACTGGTGGGTGCTGCGGGCTCCTGAGGTTGTGGTGAGCACGACGATGGGCTCGGAAACGAGCTGCGGTGGCTGTGGCCACGGCCACGCCATGGCCGGCGGCGAGAAGCTCTCGGTCGCGGTGGCGCTAGTGCTAGAGGGCGAGTTAGACTGCGGGGAGAGAGGGGAAAGGCGTAGGAGCTCACAAGGGGTCGGGAGTAGAGCTCGGTGGGCTCGGGGAGGCTTCGGAGGTGGCGAGCGGGCACCGGCGATCTCGGGCGGCCGGAGATGGGGAAGATGGCGTGGGCGGCGATGCAGGGCGTCCGGCGGGGCATGGATTGGTGGAGAGGAAGAGGGGGTCGAGGCGGAGCCTCTGGGCGCAACGACGAGGCGAGGCTGTGGCTGTGGCCACGGCGACGCTCGTCGGCGGCGACGGATGCGTTCGGTGGCGGAAAGAACAGAGGAGGAGAGAGCGTTTGGGGGAGAGAGCGAGGGAGTCTAGGGGGTCGGGGCAGCGCCGAGGAGATGACACGAGGCGTCGCGGTGGCCAGGCGACGCAGGCAGGCAGCCTGGTGGCGTGGCGAGCTCGGGCGCGTGCGCCGTGTCCCTCCTCTGCCTACTGGCACGAGGAGGAAGGCGACAGGGAGGAGGAGGTGGGCTGGGCTGCTGGAGGAGCTGGGCCAGGTAAGTGGCCCAGGTGGGCTTCCTCTCTCTCTCTCTTTTCTTGTTTCAGTTTCCTATTTTTTTTCTGTTTTGTTTTGATTTAGTAAAAATACTAAACCATTTGAATAAATGCTGAAAATAATTGTGGGCACTTATGAAATTATTTCTAACAGCCCTCAACCATTATCAATATTATTTGGGCAATTAAAATATTTATAGGAATTAAATGCCCAAATGCAAATACTTAATGGATTAATTCAAAAAATCCAGAGTGACCTAGAAAATGTGCACCATTTTTGGCAGAGGTTCTGGACCAAAACAAAAATGATGAACATTTATGAAGGGCATTTTGGATTCATTGAAAAAGATTTTAGTAAACCCTAGTTGCTAAGGAGGGGGGTGCTGGGGGTTCTGTCATCCCCAATTCAACTTAAATAAAATTTAAACATGATGCAACAAAATGCAAACACTAGACAGCACCAGAAGCTAGGGATGTGACAGTACTAGTGAATAGTTTCATAACTTCAAACGAATATTAAATGCGAAGGAACTTATCCACAAACTTTAAACTAAATTCATGTAATGCAAAGCAAGCTTTCGAGCTTTCAAGCTTTCTTTAGATTTTTCTAATGAAGACCACACTCCAGAATAGTAAAGAAACCGATTAACCTTCACATTCGTTCGGTTTTGACAAGCACTCAGACAAAGAAATCTCAGACCAACTACCACTGAGAAAAGCATGGAACTATCGCACAAACCATCGTCATCAGATGCCTACTGAATGTCTGATACGGATACAGAAGTCTCACTTCTTATAAGAGTTTGATTGAAACTATATATGCTGCTATTAAACTAGGCACAGAGCCTCCGATTGATCAGCTCAGTCCATGATGTTGTCATCATCGTCATCCGGGAGGGGCATTGCCGCCGCAGCTGCTATCTCTGCCTCAATCCTGTATACAAAAGAGTTTCCCAGCATAAGAGATCAACGCAACATCACAAGGATGCAGTTTCATCAGAGGAAGTACAAGTAGTAGCCTTTAGAGTAGTGCATTGTTCACTCACTGTTGCTGTGCGGCGAGGTCGACGGTCACGTCGGCAGGGAGGAGGGCCGTCTCCTCGACGAACCGGAGCGTCATGTCCCTGCAATCGCAGTCATATATCTTATTAATTTGATTGTTCAGAATGAGCATATAACGTTACCCTATTTTGGTTGGAAAGGAGAATCTGTGTAGCACTGAGACAGTTGTGGTAAAGGTTGTGCGATGCAGCAGAAATGAGTTACCCTGAGAGCTTCCTTGCAAGGTAGAGGAAAGGCTTCTCGAAGTTGTAGTTGCTCTTGGCAGAGATCTCGTAGTACTGGAGGTTCTTCTTCCTGTGAAAGGTCACCATCTTGGCTTTCACCTGCCGGTTCTTCACGTCCACCTTGTTGCCGCACAGGACGATCGGGATGTTCTCGCACACCCTGATTGCAACAAAGGATAATTTAAGAGATGTGTCAGGTCAATTCAGGACAACTAATGAAATAGTAACTAGGTGGAGACTGGAGATATTCTGGGAGAGCATACTCTACCTGCAGATGTCTCTGTGCCAGGTGGGGACGTTCTTGTAGGTGAGTCGGGAGGTGACATCGAACATGATGATTGCGCACTGGCCATGGATGCTGAAAAACAGAAGGAGAAAGTAAGAATCCACTGTCAATGCGCACCGGCCAAAACAATGGCAGCACAAGTTTCTTGTTTTTTTGAAACGAGAGCACAAGACAAGGTATGAACCATTGTGGTCGATGACCATGCCATCTTATTTGCTTTGCTAGAAATCACAAACTCTTAACAACAGACCCTATAGTCTTACTCCTATAGTTGCTGCATGTAATCTAGTCAAACTCTCTAAGCTGCTGCAAAGCACTACCTGATGCTTACGGTAATAAGTAAGATGAGTGCTCTTGAAGAAGGCCAAACAATTAATTCCTAAGAAGCAGGCAGACAAGCTCCAAATGTGCTCTAAATACCAATGCACATGGCTCACCCGTTAAAACATCTGAACTTACTAGTATGCAGAACCATGAGTGCAGTAAGTGGTATTCCAAAACTCTGAATCAAGAATTTTGGCCTGCAGTAATGTCTACTTGTTTCTCGCAACTAATGCAAGTGATCAATTGGATACCATATCAGATGAATGAACAAGATAATACTAGTAACATCGACAAACAAGGCCTGCAGTACTAATCGGTGTAAATGTCACTATAACCAACAAGAGTACTGATTGTTCCTAGGCCAGGAATTTGGAAGCCCCATCAACTTTGCAGGTGCTAAAAGATAACTGAAAGTCTGAACCATGATCGGACGTAGATAGCATCATCTAACCATAGATTCAACGTATATAGTTGCGACTAGCTGGTTGATTTCAAGGATCTTACTAGTATCCGTCACGGAGGCCACCGAACTTCTCCTGCCCGGCGGTGTCCCAGCAGTAGAACCTGATCTTGCCGTGGCTCGTCTGGAAGTCCAGCGGCCGCACCTCCACGCCGATCGTCGCTGCAAAACACCGTTCAGATCAACAACAACAGTCAGCGACATCAAAGGCAACATCATCCTTCAACAGAAACACGAGATGCGACCGAGAGGTGGGAAGGAAGCAAACTAGAATCGTCAGCAGGTTCACTTACGTTCGTACTTCTTCTCGAACTCCCCGGTGACGTGCCTCTTCACGAACGTCGTCTTGCCGGTGCCGCCGTCGCCGACGAGGACGAGCTTGAAGCTGGGGTAGTCCACGGGCGGGGTGTTGGGGAGAGCCTGCACGCGTAATTCGTTCAGAATCGGAAATCGAAACCCATCAATCGGGCAAAACTAAGAGGCGCAAACCACGAGCAGAATCTAGAACAGCGGAAGCGCAGAAACCGCCTCGAAATTCGTCGGAAAGCAACCGCCTCGAAACAGATACGAGAAGGAGTCGAGGAGATCCACGCACCATTGCGGCCGAAGCCTCCGGAGCAGGAACCTGCGCTGGCGTCGGCGGGGCGGGGCGGAGCGAATCGGCGGGGCGGAGGGGTTCGGAGAGGGAGAGCGACGGGCTTCGGCGGCGATGCGAGCGCGCGTGTCTGACGGACGAGGGAGAGGGGCCGCCGCGGCCGCGGTATATATATGGCGTCGTCCGCTTCGATTCTAAGCTACCACCTGCGAGCCGCGGTTGCCGGTGGCCGCCATGGCTTAGCTTGAGACCTAAGCAGGCTTTCCCACCGTGCGATGTGAACGTACACGTGATCCAGGCCGTCCATCTGTGTGTCGGTCGGTTGTTAGCGTGGGATGTAAGCTGTGTCGCGTGCGGCGCGACGCGACTCGTCCAGGGCCAGTCGAGACCGGTACGGGAAATTAGTAGCGTCGCCTTCACGCAGTCCCGGCGCTTCGGCATTGCCTTGACTCCGGTCTTCCAAGGTTTGAAAATAGCGTTCTGAAAAGTGGAAATAGCGTAAGTTTATAAAAATACAGAATCGTTTTTCTATAGATATACACATAGATATATCGAAGTGTTTTCTAAGAAACACTGCACATTTTTATCTAACTAGTAGAATGCCCGTGTGTTGCTACGGGCCTTTTTTGAGTATTCATACTTACCAGTGAACATTTTTTAGTAGATAAACTCCAATGAGACCCCGTCATATATCACTCCAAGTGACAACGGTTTTTAGCGAGAAAAGAACTTGTAACTCACGCATGATCAAACGTTGCAACAGTCGTCAGTACTCGAAAGAGTGACTTCATGCCCATAAAAATTACATATGAGTCCAACACCAAGTGATTTGTTGTAATATGATACTTTTTACCCACATATGTGTATCTACTTGAAACAGTTTACACCATCATTCACAAGGAAGGCCTAGCAGAAGGTTTAGAGAACCTATTTGGCCACTTATCAATGGAGGAACTTTACTAATGCAATTCAGCAACATGAAGTACATGCACACGGTAAAATCTATAATCAATTAAAAAAATATACAAAATGCTTTTTTTTTGTTTGTCTTTGTTACTTTGCCTCTCCTCTGGTGCTTAGCATGGCCAATGCAATCAGCCCCAAGGAGAAGCATTCCTTCGATGGAAGTACACTTTTCTCAACTCAACCTCCTTGCCGTGATGGTCTGTCGATACTGTTTCACCTGCAATATTTTGATCGTGCCAATGTCATTATAAGTTTACAACAGTTGCATGGGGTCATTAGGATAATGAGGTTAAAGAAATGTGTGTAGTTTGTCAGGAAAAGGTCGTTGTGGGTCCTACTTGGCCATCTTCTTGTAGTGGATTGTAATGCTGAAGGGAGCCCATTCTCCACTGTCAGAGGCCACCAGGTAGCCGACGACATCGACGCTCGGTAACTCTAGCCCAACCGCCGCTACCTATGCATTGCCAAAGAATAAAGAAGACACTGTCAAACATTTGTTATATTTCATAAATGTGAGTTAAATCTTTTTCATGCTTAGTTCCTCCTCGGCGGTTGTCATATCCCTTCAAACCATCTTCTACTTAAGAAGACAAGTGGCATATTTTTCTCCACCCTTCCTTCCCCTCTACATCTGCTCTCTTCATCCGCACTTTCATCCTTGGCAGGTTATCTCTTCAATCCTCCTCTAATTTTGAGAAGACAAGTCACATGTTTTTCTCCACCCCTCGTTTTCCTACACATCATCCACCTTTCTCTAGCACTGTTGCCGTTTCAAAATATTTCATCTTGCTCTACAATCTTAAAAGGAACATTATCTTGAAAGCATAGGGAAATTTTCTATCTGGTATGCTTTCCGTAATAGGAGCAGCACCGCATATCATGAACTTGGAGCAAGATAAGCAATAGGACATGAAGCATTAAAACAAACATCAGACGATATATGTAAGTGATGTCGAATGTACATAGGTGGCCAAAAATTGGAAATTTTAGTTGAAATTATTTCCTTTTTAAGCGCCCATTTGTTTCAACGGAACAAAAATAACAATAAGATAACAAAAAATATAAATAGACATCGAATGACAAAAAGTGTCTTCATCTTCCTTGCCCTTCATCGCTAACCACATTGCACCCCTTTGTTATGTTCATCCTTGTCACTCATCTACTTCATCGCTAATGCAAGAACACCGGATCAGCAATCAGACCATTCCATCACAAGGTGTAGTAATAAAAATAAAATAAATGGAATGCAACAATTATATAGAGAAAGCTAACCTGAATGCCAGCATAGCTACACAGGTAGAAATCAAACTCGAAATCTTGGCAAATATGTGAATAGAGCAATTTAAGGACATCAAGATTAAATAAGATGAACTGCCACAATAGAAAATGAAAAGGCTAATGCACTCAAACAACTACTTCAACCTAAACATGGAACAAAACAACTCGTCTAACACACACATACAATAATTGAACACTAAGTTATTGTTTAACATGGAGAAAGTGGAAAAATATCTCAGTCAAAAACAGAACTCGCACCTGAATAAGCATGGTGAATTAAATATCTTCAGAAAGAGGTCACTCCTTCACACAGTAACAGGCCATTGTTATTCGTTCGGCTAGCAAAAGATTATCCATATATTTCTTGAGCACACAAAGGGCATGTAAGTAATGCTAACTTTAGAAAATGCTAATGTGCACAAAATCATTTTTTGTAGATAATATGTTACAAATCAAACCAATCTTTTTAGGGTTCTATTATGAATCCAACAAGCTAGAGAATATACCAGGGTTTTTTTCCTTATAGAGTGGAGGCACAGTAGAGGAAATTGACATGATTTTTTGTAGCAATTCCATATAGAGCAGTTCACTGACTTAACCTGGTCTTCCTCCATCTCCCTTGGGTCACCTTGTCGTGCTCAGCAATCATCGACAGACGCTTGGCCGCAACCGTGTGCAGCCGTACACCAGAGCCAATGCAAAGATGAGAGTAGAACTGAGATATTTACGCGGGTGTCGCGCTTCACGCGGTCCTTGATATTTAAAATATCCTTCATAAGTATCATCCAACACACAATACAAACATGACAACTCCTTCTATCAAAGTTGTACAAAAAAGCCGGAGTAATCGCAAATTAAACGTCTCTGAGAAAATATGGAGCAAATGGAAATTAAACACAATGGAAAATTATATAAGTTATTAAGGTTATGATTTCTTTACGCATCTATTGAGAAGTAGTGTAAAGTACTGTCTAACTCCACGGATTTACAATTGTGTTACTATTAAGTCCAGTGTGACTGATGAGCAATAGTAGAGCGGTGGTGACACAGTGTTGACATGGAGTAAGGGATGTTTGCAACCATATGAGAAAAAAATATGAAGATCCATTCATAAAGGATCTAAAGTCTTATCAACAACCTGCGAACTGCAATGCGAGAAGATGCAGCAAGAAAAAGGAGATGTCCTGTGGAAGGTTTTGTGTCTGGCACTCATGGTAATTTCTATTATCGTTTTAAGTAATATTTGTATTATTTGTAGGCATTTTTCGTGCTTGATTGGAAACGTTCCAGGTGGCGTTAAAATTTTTCAAAGTGGAAAAAGTTGAACGTTTTTATTTACTGACAGGCTCGGTTTGTCTAATTATCAAGATGAATCATTTTTGCAGCGGCGATGGAACAAAAAGGAAATATACATTCAAGCGAGCAGCAATTTTTTATAGATGGAACACTCAGTCAAGAGTGGTTACTGAAACACGGAACATGTACTTGTTGAAGCAAATCACTTTTCTTGTAGTTTTAACTTCTAGCATCACATTGAAACTCGTAGGTTGGATAGGTAGAAGTAAGTTAGCTTGTGCAATTCATAGAGTACACATGGCAGTCATATTGGCATTACAGATCAAATAGCAACAGTCTGAAGCCATATAGAGGGAACATAGTGTTACACCATCAGTACAGAAGATACACTGGTGCCTACTGAGACCATTAGTACAGAAGATACACTGGAACGTACTGAGTTTTCATTATTACAACTAAGAAAACGATAGCAAAAGGTAGAAAGGATTTCTTCTTAGAAGAGGAAATACCTTATTAGCCTGTAGAAGTGTAGTGGGTGTTCTCGCAGTAGATAAAAGAGAGCTAGCTTCTGAATATTCTGTATGATCAGCTGACCGTTGATTGCTGCTATTATCTTGCTCATTTGCCTGAATAATGAATGTAGTAAACACTTATAACACTCACATGAGTTATCACATAAGCAGCACCTAAAAATGAAGGGGAGGATATTGATTACTGATTACCTCTTCCCATCTGTAACACTACTCCAGGGACCTCCTTTATAAAAAATAAGAAGGAATATTATTCCAGATTTTTTTTAGTGCAGTCATTTTGCAAGGACCATACAATTTAGGGTAGTTCTGCAACTTGCTTTATAAGAAATAAAAAGGAATGTTATTCCAGACTTTTTTAGTGCAATCATTGTGCAAAGAGCATACAATTTATGGCAGTTCCGCAACTTGCTTTATAAGAAATAAAAAGGAATGTTATTCCAGACTTTTTTAGTGCAATCATTTTGCAAAGAGCATACAATTTATGGCAGTTCCGCAACTCTTTTTTGTGCATAAATGTTACAAAAACATTTAGTAACTTTTTGATGGAACTTCTAGTAGTATCTTAATTATGTGTTTAGCCAATCCCTAATGAAGAGTGACATAAAACATGTCATTGCCTACTTTTGCTATATCTTGGCGGAATCCATTTCACGCATAGAAAGTTCAATTTTATTAGCGAGCTTTAGTTCAAGAAAATCTGCACAATCAAGTTCCATTGAAATACCTCCTATTGACCTTCACAATATTTTAACTTGCAAAGGATGTATGCAATAACCAGCTTCTTGTCAGGCTGGTGGCAAGCCACAAACAACATGGAAGATCGGCAAAATTCAACAACCAACGGAGCCTCGGCTAACTGCAAAAGCCCACCAGATCCAGAGAGCTCAGGGGAGGGGACGATGGTAGCGGCAGCCGGAAGAAGTAGTGATG